ACATGCAATTATTAGAGCTCCTTGGTTCTTCTGTTCCAAAACTTCACGTAGTCCCTATCTCTTTAAGACCTAGAATAAACCCTTTCCCTGTTCAAGTAGTTTAATCAAGAAACATATTCCATTTCTGGAAAATACAGTTCACTTAAACAAAATATTTTATTTTCTTGGCTTAAAAACAGAAAAAGGAGAATGAGAGATCTGTATAATGTCATGGCATCATGCAAGGTATGGGCATATTTGGTAGCATCAGGTTTGGCCGTTACCATTCCTTGTTTTAACAACACTGCATTTAACAACCAGATATCTCATTTCAATTGGCTATGTCTATTTGTGTGCCAGATTCAATAAACTAGCGCAGAGTTCTATTTTGGGGATGGAAAGAATAGTTTACTTGATCTGCATGCAACTTGGTTTAACAGTAGACAATCTCCAAGTTCTATAAATGCTTATCCTGATAATAGGAGGCAAGGAAGACTTCAAGCCCTCATTTGCCTTTTGTCCTTAATAGAAGGACAGTAAAAGCTTCCAGATGGAAAGAAGTGATAACATAAAATTAGGAAGAGAAAGTATTAATTATGTGAATATACTGTCATCTCTGTTTAAAGGACAAAGCATTATAGTTCCATATGACAGTTCCAAATACTAAAAATGCCAGTAATACAAAGACCAGAAGACAAAGCTTACACATAACAGCCAGGCTTATTCCCTAGAATGGAGCTTTGAGTCTTCTGAACTGGAAGCCTTTTCTATAGGAGGTATCAACGAGAGAAAGATTCCAGTATAATCAAAATTCACTTGCCTTAGTAGAATATTCTTTTGGACAGCCCATATTGATATCAATACCAGCTACATCACTTTCTCTGAAATAGAAGAAATGAGAAAAATGTATTTCAGCATACTAAAACAAGAACTAGGAAATAGATACCTTACCAGGAAGCCTGTTTCATCATTATAAGGCTTAAATGTAAATTAAAGATTAAGCTTTTATTTGAACTTCTGAATTTTCAGCTTCTCACTTATATATGTACTTAAACAGCAGTCTGAAAACCAGACTGTGTTTTGATGAACAGTGTGCAGAAGCTGCAAATACTCATCTTAAATGTGTTTACCTGGAATTAAGTGATATAAACCACATCCACCACCAAATTCACCAATGTTAATAAAAAGTCTTATAGAAATTCCATCAATTTAAAATGGAGACCTAAAAACACCTTTCAAAGTGTTTGAGATACACTTCTCATTTCTGCACAGTATTTTACTAGAAGTTTCAAACCACACAAAAACAGGAGTTATTAGCGAGCATATATATAACACACTTGCTAATAAGGCCACAGAATTCCATATTGGAAGGATCAAGGACACACCCACTGCACTGGAAAAGTGCCATTCAATCCCTGCATAGAAATCACGCAGCTACTATTTTGAGTATGAATTCTTTTAAATAGAAGTTGCAGTCTACATTGTTACACAGTTGATCACCAAGATGTAAATCAGTACTACCCTATACTGTTCAGTTCTTAAAAAAAACCAACACTTTTCTTGAACCTAGCAAGACCTACCTTCATCCTTTTAATCGCTATAATTTGTTGTTTTCTCTAAAAGAACCACCTCATCAAAAAAAAAAAGCCACAACCCCTACTGCCAACAATAAAACTATGAAGCCAGAGTGGGAATGGTGTGAGAGTAGATGACTTACACAAGCTTAGCTACTGCCAAGGCTCTTTCAGCGTCTGCTGAACCCTGATGATAAAATAAGAGTATATAATTACAAAATAGTATCAAGTGAATAAAAGTACACTTCCACAAATGTAAAACTATACTTACTCTAAACATTTAATACAATGTAAAAGAGACCCTTTCACAGCACAACAGATAGCAAAACCACTTAGCTTAAGCATATCAACCAGTGGATAACAATAAGTGATGCAAAAAGAAATTGAGATCAATCCTCTTTCTTAACCTACAACAGTACCAAATGTTCTCAGTCTATCACAATTAGATATCCTGTTTTTAAAAATTTCCATCTTGAAGGAGTCAGTAGCCTCTACACACAGCTTATTCCAGTGCTATCATTACTGCTGAAAAAGTCTTTTTCATTGTCTAATGCAGTCTCCCTCCTCCATCAATTTAAGCAACGTTAATGCACATTCTAATACTCTGACAGATAAACAATATTATTTAGTCTTTCCAATGAGGCTACTCACAGTGCAAGATTAAAGCATGTGATCAAGTGTCGCTGTAATTTGTTGCTGGTATGTATATGTTTGGAAGTACAATAAAGATACTGATCACAAAAACAAGATGACTTTAGAGAGCACAGAATTCACCTTAATCACTTTTTCTGAAAACACTTGTATAGAAAACTTGCACAGCAGCATGTTAATTGCATGTGTACCAAGAGTTTAAAAATTCTGTAACAAATGTTACGTGAAATTTTATCTTTATCTGAAGCATCAAAGAATAGATAGTCTGTAATACAGTTATTTTGGACTGAGATTAAGACTGTTAACTAGTACTTCCTTGTTTTGGAGAGTACCTGCTTTTGCTTTCTTACCATTTGAAAGATGACATGGTGCCTCTCCCTTTCACAGGTTCTGAAAACAACTCTTTCATTTGGTGCAACAAAGTCTACTGTTTCAAGTACTTCTATATGCAGTGAGAAACAAAACAGACAAATAGTATACAAATGTAATCGTAAAGGAAGTAGTGACTATACAATTTGTATATAAATAAAATGCTACCAGGCAAAATTTCCATGAACAACCACTGACACCTGATCTTCCCTAAATCCTTGCAGTACATTTCTTGTAAATTGCAGACTCCGTTACTTGGTACTCCCAAATTATCTCCCAACTTGTTTGCTGGGGGAGCAACAGCACTGGAACAAGCCAGAATGAATGTAACACTATAGTTTTCAGAAAGGCAAGAATGGAATGTAGACTTATGGTTGACTTCTGTTCCTTGACAGGGATACTACAAAAAGGTGTTTCTCATTTCACTCAGCTGTTGTAAAACTTAAGATGGTCTTTTAAGAACTTGGCTGTGAAAATCATGTTATGCCAAATCTAGGCCCCAGACCTGAAGTTAAGGAAAGAATGACAGTAAGATTTCAAATTCATTGCTTCCTTAATAATGCTACCAACAGGTAATACTTATACAGATTCTTGATCATAAGCTGTCTCTACTAAAGTCTGAATGTGTTTCTTGGCCACTGTAGTGGGCTTTGGGTAGCAGTAGGGGCTACAGGGGTGGCTGTGAGCTGAGCCCAGCACTGTCCCCTTCACCTGCATACCCAGTGACCTAAGCTCTGTCAAAAAGCTTAACAGAAAACTCATTGAATCCCCACAACAGCTTAAGTCAATGGTGAGGTTTCTCTTCCAGTTCTGTAAAGGGTAGGGAAGAACCGTGTGTTAGTATATATATTTTTTTTCCAGTATCCTACAGTGTTGCTAATTGATTAGCTCTGTCCTCTAACAAGACTTGTGGTTTCCCTGGCTGAACAACTGAAATGCTTAGAGAAGTAGAAATGAAAGTCTAAAACTGTGCAGAAACATACAGGTGTAAGAATGGCACTTCAAAAGCTTAAGTTTCTATGAACTGTTTAGAGGGATTATAGGTATCTACATCTCATTGTGATCACTGTAAGATGACTTCAGCAAAGTAATTTTTTTTCTCTTGAATAAAAAAAATGCTTACAGATATTAACGAAAGAAATACCATGCTTACCATTTACAACTCTCTTACACTGCATCATCTTTATGTCAATCAGTTCCTGAGAACAAAGGGGGGGAAATCTTATGAGTAAAAATATACAAACCTTCCAGCTGTAGGCAGTTATTTGTTTTCATAGTTATTTTTATTATTATTTAATAAAAGTAGAACAAGGTAAATAAACAGAAGCATTGCGCTCAAAGTTTCAAACTATGAAAGATGATTGTAAGGGAACTGTTAGGTCATGGGTTGAGCTGGCAATTGAGCACCTGGTGGAGGGCTGTGGCTGGCCTACGGAGCACAGGCAAATTGTTGGCACCTCTGCTCTTTATGACACCAGGTGTGGACTCAGGGTAGAGCCATCCTGGGCTAATGTAAGGGCCAGCCACCAAAACCTACCTGTGAATGCTTTGCCTGTTATTGTCAAGAACCTCGCAGAAGCAATTTCACCTCTTTATGAACAGAACAATGGTGTGCTGATATATAAGATTTATTTTGCTCAATCACCTATCTACCATGCCAGAAACACAAGTAAGCTACTGCTGTAAAATGTAAATAAATTTAAAGTGAGTGCTTTGTCTAAATTAATTGAAATAATTATACACTCTTATGGCATGGGTCTCCCATAATTTGCCAACAGCTCAAAGCATTCTGCTGAGCTGCTCTATCCATTTATTTAATGGAAAGAATGTGAAAAAGGAAAGTCCTTGAGTAAGCCAAGTCTGTTCCTGTACTCAGCTCTCTGCAACTACTTCCCCAGATTTCCCATCCACCCGCGTTCCTTTACTCAGTAGGCAGTAACCGCGTTCCCAGGCATCCCACTCATACCTCGCAGTACACGATGTCTGCACCGTAGTCCAGCGCGAGAAGCCGCATTGGCAGCGTTCCCACGCGCACCATGGGAGCCAGGATGTTTTTTCCCCTGAAGCAGAGAGGTGTGTTCACCGTCATTCCCGTTGCGGTGCTGTCTAAAACAGAGAAAGCGAGGCGGGTGGGAAGGTGTTAGCAAACATCATCCCCTACTAGTAAGCTCCCAAAGCTTTTTTTCGTGGGCGCTGAGGCTGTCAGCCTGACAGGATCCACGCAGGCCGCCGCGACCCCGAAGCCAGCTGCGCGGGGAACGGGATCTGCCCTGAGGAGGAGCGCGGGGCCGGCTCCCCGTCGCCCACCGAGGGGCTGCGGCAGGATGAGGCCGGCACCCGAGGTACGGCCGCACGCGCTCACCTTCCTCGCGCGGCGCCGGCTGGGCGGGGCGCTGCGTCGTGACGTCATCAGATCGCGCCGCAGCTATCACGCGGGGGCGGCCATGGTTCTGAGGCACGGTGGGGTGGCCGCGGCCCGGGCGGCGGGCGTGCAGCCCTCCGAGAACGTGGTGCGCATCCCCTGGGCGCTGCGGCTGCGCCTGCAGCGGGGTGAGCGGGGCCGCCGGCGCGGGCAGGGACAGGGACAGACGACGGCAGTGCGTCCCGGTAAGCTGCTGCTGCGGAGCCGGCGGCCGGAGCTGAGCCAGCCCCGCTGGCAGACGGTGGGGCGCTGGGAGCAGCCGCAGCTGGTGTCGGCAGGCTGGAAGCACAGGAAGGCGCGTGGGGACTACTTTCAGCTGGAGGCCGTCCAGCAAGCGGCCCCCGCCCTGCTGGCACCGGAGCCCCAAGAGGGGCAGGGCCCGCTTTTCGCGGAGATGGGGCTGCAGCCGGCCCTGCTGACCGCCCTACAGGACCTCTCTATCGGCCGCCCCACGGCGGTGCAGCGCCTTGCCATCCCCGCCCTGCGCCGCGGTCGTAGCGCCCTGTGCGCCGCCGAGACGGGCAGCGGCAAGACGCTGGCCTACCTGCTGCCGCTGCTCGACCGGCTGCTGGCCCGCCCCGCCGCTCCGGAGCCGGCCGTGGAGAAGCCCGAGGGGTCGGGGCCGCGATCGGCGTCGCCCCGCGGTTTGGTGGTGCTGCCGTCGCGGGAGCTGGTGGCGCAGGTGGGCGCGGTGGCGGCGGCGCTGTGCCGCCCGGCGGGGCTGCTGGTGCGAGGGCTGACGGGCGGCGGCGCCGCGGGAGGGCTGAGGCGGCAGCTGCGGGCGCCGCCACCGGGAGCCGCCGTGCTGCTGGGCACCCCGGGGGCGCTGCGGACCGCGCTGCGGCGGCGCTTCCTGGTTCTTGGGCGGCTGCGCTGGCTGGTGCTGGACGAGGCGGACGCGCTGATAGACGACGAGTCCTTCGCCGTGCCGCTGCAGGAGGTCCTGGCGCACGCCCCACTTGCCGCCGGTGCCCCTGGGCCGGCTGGTCCCGGGGAGGAGAGGACCCAGGTGGTGGTGGTGGGAGCCACCTTCCCTACGGGGCTCAGCCAGATGCTTGCGAGGTTTGTCGATGTGGACTGCTTTGTCAACCTCAGCACCCAGAGCTTGCATCGCCTGCCTTCACATGTCCAGCAGAAATTTGTCTGTCTCAAAGGCCAGGACAAGCTGCCTGAACTTCTGCAGCTCCTTAAGGAGCGCTCAGCATCCAGTGGGGCTGTCCTCATCTTCTGCAACAGCGCCAGCACCGTCAACTGGCTGGGCTATATTCTGGACGACCACAAAATCAAGCACCTGAGATTACAGGGACAGATGTTGGCAGCTGCCAGAGCTGGCATCTTTGCCTCCTTTCAGAAGGGAGATGCGTCTGTCCTCATCTGCACTGATCTTGCCTCACGGGGGTTGGACACCAGCAGCGTGCAGCTCGTGGTCAACTACGACTTCCCAAACACCCTGCAGGATTACCTACACCGTGTGGGGCGTGTTGGGCGGGTCGGAAGCAAGATGCCTGGGGTGGTGGTTAGCTTTGTAACCCATCGATGGGATGTGGACCTGGTGCGGAAAATAGAGACTGCTGCCCGAAAAAAGACAGGTCTCCCAGGCATGGACGCTTCTATTAATGAACCTCTACCTAAAGCAGGTTGATTTGAGTTGGTAATAAACGGCCTGGCAAGGACTAAATTTAATCCATTAAGACACAACAAGTAAGTGTGTGAGGTAGGCTGAAATAGTAGAGAATTGAGTTTCAGAACAAGATGATCTGGTTAACTTTGTGCACTGTTTTGGAAGCTGCAATAAGCATTTCCAGAGGCATCACAACTCGTGAATGTGCCTCTGTGATGTGCAGTTCTGTTGCATTTCAGTGTCCCTCATCACTAGCAGCTAAACATCATTTTTTAAAATGTCTACTGGCAGGAAAAAAGAAATTATCTTCCCAACTTTGTTGCAACTTTGACCCAATTTAGTTACATGGTAGAAAGGCAAAGTGACAAATTATGTTGGATTTCTTTTTGGCAGCTTATTCAGAGAATTGTAGACCAGATGCCTCTAAAGATGGGTAGGAGAAAAATTGTATAATAAAACTGAAGGCTTTTTCAGGCTTTGATGTCTTTCACAGAATAAACATTTATTGTATTTATTGTTTAAAAAAAGGCATTAAGTGTTTACTGATTGTTCTTTATATGACGTGTCTGTTGAAGTGATTTAAAAAAAAAAAAGCTGAAAACATCTCCAGCGGGAGGAAAGAAAGTATTTTGACTCAAATTTTATCCTAATTGAACAGACGGAGAAAGTTGCTATTCTCTTAAACTGAGAGGATTAAGGTGAGGCTGAAGTTATTTTGTATCTAGCTGCTCGTTTGCGTCCATGGGAAATAATCACTAAAAAAAAAAAAAAGGTAATTTAACTCTGATTTATGTTGGGGGGACTTATTGCAGCTCTTCCTTTTAGCGGCTCTTTCTTCTTTACTATCCATCTCTTTGCCTGTGCTAAAACTCAGTATTTAGAAATCTGTTAGCTGGAAAGAACACGGCAGTGTCTCTGTATCTTATTTGGTTTCCAACCAAATAAGGTTCTGGAGTCTTAGTATGAGTGAAAGCTAAAGAAACAGAAAACTTTAACAGCCACTTCAGCATAAGGCTATGACCTTTTCCTACATAGTTACTGAAGCCTGTATTCTGTTCAGTTGCAGTTAAAGGATTCTTAGGGTAAAGTTATTTTCTTCAATAGAAAGCTTTCAACTTTGTGAATGAAGTGAAAGGGCAACCCGTTTGTTGTGTAGGCCACTCTAAAGTTCATTCCATGGCAAATCATGCAATTCATGTGTCTGCAGGCAGATGCGTGCTTCCTGGGGAGTAAATACTTAAAACGAAATTTGGGGACAATCTGTAGGATTATAATTTACAGAAAATCCTCTTTGTTGAAACACATCTTCTGTTGTATCAGGTCCTGTGAATGGCTTTAACATCAATACACTGATTATCTTAGATGAAGTAGTTTCATTAAACTCCAAGGGAAAAAAAAGGCTAATATTTGCTTGCCTGCTTTCAGGCTGACTATCCCAGGTGTCACGTAACTTCTGTGTGATTTAACAGGAGGAAGTTTTCAAAGCTGCAGTGCTTCCCCATGTTACATGAATGTGGAGTTACTGTCTTTTAAGTGTCCTCCCTCCTGAGTGAGCTGGTGATAATGGCTTTCCCAGTTTCATGTGTAGTTGCCCTTTTAGATGAATTTTTTTCATCTTTTTTTTGCTTGGGATCCCAACTGCTGTTGCAGTTACGTGCTGCAGTATTTTGCTCTGCTACCTACAATTCCCAGCTAAATAACGTGACTGAGTTCTAAACCACTCTGCCCCTTCTCAGGTAACGTTTGATTCCGGGGAGAAAATAGCCCTTAAGAAGTTAAATGATGTCATATAAACATCAGCTTCTGACTGGAGATCCGCAGTCAAAACAACCTGGCAACGATCATAATGCATCGGCTTGGTTTCTATCACTAACTAAGTGGCACTGGTGATAACAGCCGTTTTTTTTTCCTGAGGCGGCGGGGCGGGCTGTCCCCTCACGAGGGGTGCGGGCTCCCGCCGGCGCTGAAGAGCCGTGGCGGGAAGAGGCCGCCCCGCGTGCCCGCCCTCGCGCCGCGCCGGCTGAGGGGGCGGCCATGGCGGCCCGGGGTGACTGCTGGTCAGTTCACCAGAGATACAGCAGGTTCTGGTGGGTGTGCTTGAGGTCGAGGTGTAAAACGTACACGTTAATAAAAAATATGAGTGTTTGGTGCGTGGAGTATGTCTCACAGAAATTAGGCATGTACGTTTTGAAGGCAGTCACAAAAGATGCTGAAGATGATCGAGACCATATTTGGGTATTGTGGTTATGGTTCTTAGTTAAACTTCAAATTAAACTTCTATAATGCACTTTTAAAAGCTCTTTAACAGTCTGTGAATCCAGAATAACGCTGGGTCGGTCAGGACTGAAGCACACAACGATGACATCAGACCAGATGGTGACACTATAACGGCCTTCCAGCCATATGCTTCTTAAATCTGAAGTAACACGCACTTTATATATTCATAAATCATAACTTTAAACTTAAACATTTAACGAAAAGAAGGCATTTTAACATTTGTGTAAGAACATGTCCAATAAAAAGCTTTGAGTAGATATGCTCAGAGAACACCGCATGCACCAATAAAGCCTTGTGTAAATATCACTTTCAAACAAAAACAGTTCTTTTAAGCATATTTTGAGAAATCTCACATAATTATTAGTTAGGCAGTTATTAGAGCCAGTCATCAACAGCAGTAATTACATCCAGGAGTATGCAGACATTGAGACCTGGGGGAATGCAAGCCTCTACAGAGCCATCAAACGCAGATGTCTGCATCAGTGAGACCTCATGTTACACAACACGGTAAGCAAATACTATGGCAAAGACTTCCAGGAGATTTAGAGATTCCATCACTGCTAAAAACATACATAGCTCACATATGGTAATACGATTGTTTAAGGAACGGACACATCCATTGATATATTAGCTAGATTACCAAACTGCTTCTCAGCGCCCTCAGTAAATGTCGTGTCTCTCATTGCTCATATCCTAATAACAGCCCACGCACAGAATTGTTAAGTCGCTCATTTCATGTCTGTCTGTAATTATACCTTCTGTTTAAACACATCTTATCCTTTATGGGCATAACTACAGCTGTTTCCTCTTAGGGGAACCACAAGGGCATTCAGACACTTCTGATGGTGCCTAGCAGCAAGGTACCTAAAATGCCCCTGTGTAGCTGTTCTGTCAGACACCACCCTTCTCTCTTCTCCTGAAAGGTATTTCTGAGCCCCGCTTACACATTAGTGGTTGAGTGTGTGGTAGAGAAGTTCTCCATGCGTATTCTGACCAGCTTCTCAGTGGGGTCTGGCTGCAGGAAGCACTTGCAGTTGAAGGCCTGCTGACAGGCCTTGCGGAAGTTCTCTGAGAGAAAAGCGTAAATGATGGGGTTGATGCAGGAGTTCCCATAGGCCAAGCAATGGGAGATGATGCGGAAAGTGAAGGAGATGTTGTTGAGGGGAAAGTGCCCAAACTCTGCCCACATTGTGATGATGTGGTGCGGCAGCCAGGAGAGCAGGAACACAGCAACCACAAGAAGCACTGTCTGTGCTGTCTGAAAAAGATGAGATCAGGTATTAAATGGTTACAGTGCTTTAATAAGTCTGTGATATGAGTTTGACCTCCACAGTGAAGGCCACATGATACAGGCAACACTGCTGCTAGGTGAGCAAACTATGACTGTAAGAGAAAGAGTGCTGAAAACCAACCTTCTTCCCTGGAAAAACAGAATTTCCTTGTTTTAGCTTAGGTAATAGCTTAAGATGTTGGCCACAGCTGTGATGACCCCTAACAGATGTGGCTGGGGAAGAGGAAGGAGGTCAGTGCCTCAGGAGGGCTGAGCAAGGTGGTGAAGTCATCTGATGGGCTTGGCTGCCAGAGTGGGAAGGGTACGATGAGAGGCAGCCTGGAGAAAAGGAAGGTGTTGTGAGCTGCTGGAATTATTTTTGTGTGATACTTAACAGGCTGTTTCTTAGGGTTTCATTCCACTTATTGAGAGGAAACGGTAATTTGGGGATTGAATCTTTGGCCATGGGGAACCCAGATGGAGCAAGGGTTGGAGGCAAAGACCAGGGTGTCAGTGTTTTGGGACTGGGACCTAAATCTGTCTGCTAACTCCAAAAAAGAGATCCCCATCAATGTAGGTAAAATCTCTTGTCCTCTGAATGTTGCTGTAAAACTTATTTTGAGAGGACCTGCAGGATGCATGACAATCAGCATTTATTGAGAAGTTTTTTTCCTTTCTAGAACAAAAACTGCTTGACCCAGTACAGTTTAGAGTCTGTCTGACATTAAAAATTACTTCTGAGGAAAAAAAAAGTACAGAAAGAAGTTGTTAAAGATTTCTTTTATGACAAAGGTACTAGTAGAAGCAAGTTGTAACTGGCTGTAGCTTCCTTTCTGTAGTGGGGGTTCTATGTGGTCACGACCCCGCTTCTCAAGTTTAAGCAGCCTCAGAGTGTTGTTTTTATCTCACTTTCTACATGTAGTACAGGCAGGGAATGCATGAGCAAAGCTCAGATATTACTGACTTGGGGCCCCAGAGAGTCCTTCCTACTATTTTTGCAGGGCCACTTCTATCTTTTTTCAGAAATAATGATGGTATCAGAAGATAAGGGTTTTTGTTTGCTTTTGTTTTTCTGTAACCTATTCAATCCGTCCTTGGCACATTGTAATAGAAGTTTATCAGGTAACTTTTTTCTCCTCCTTACTGATTCTCAGCAAAATGCATGCTTTAGAGGTTATCACTTCTATTTTGCCACTTGGATAAATGTAACAATTTGTGAATGTGCAGGTATTATCTTTCTCCTAAGGAAAATGTGAGTTGTCATATAAGTAGCAGGAAAAAAAGAAAAAGAAAAATGAGGCCTTCATTTCAGCTTAAGGATTACAATCTTGGTAGTCTAGGTCAATGCTTCGGTCAGTAACTCCCTTCCATAATTTCAAGCAAACAGCAAGCAATTACTTCCTTAGAACAGAGATAATTTCCTAGTGAACAAAAAACTCATTTAATCACTGGTTATAGAGACTGCATCTAGCAGTTGTTTGCTGGAGAAACACCTGCAGGTTTTCAAATGTCATTTTAAATTACTGTAGCACTCTGTCACCTTACCTGTTATGCCAGAATGTATAAACAGAGGTTATAAAGAGTCAGAGTTATGTTTATCCAACAACAAAGCACCTAAGCTTTTCAGGGGAAAGCGAATCTATCCCTGACTTGCAATTTGTCAAATAAAAAAGCTGCTGAAAATCCTCTGTATGTGCTCCAACTTTTCGTCAGCACTCACAGTTGGTATGACTTGCCAAAATAAGCAAATCACCTTGGCAGTATTTCACTGGTGACTAAAGCGGCTGAGTAGAGTTGAGCTGAGGAAGAAGATTTTTAGATTCCCATTAAAATGAGAAAATGTTTCAAGAGTCATTTACTCCTCCCTTGATACTCTTTATGTTTCTGGTGAGATAGAAACTGCAGCTTATTTTTCTAAGTCTTCATGCTTAGTGCTGTATAAAGGATAATATGAGGAAAACAAGGGAATTAATTGAGCAAGAAAACTGAAGGTAGATTTCCAAAGCGATTACATCTTCGATGATTTCTCTGGTGTCTTACAAGACTATTTGATTCTCAGAGCATTTGCAGTATTTCCCTTGTTGGTGGTGTTTCAATAAAAATGCAATAAAACTTCACTCATCTGGAGTTTACTTCAGTGAGGGCTTTTTCTTTCTTCCTTGTATCAGTAAATGAGGTATAGTGTACATGAATGTATGTAGACTGACAGGGGGCTTCTGTATTGCAGACCAACTATGAAGATCATATTCTGGAGGTGATGACAGCAATGGAGGAAACACAACAGCATGCTCCAGGGAAGAGTAAGATGGTATTTCTTTTCAAGAAGAATGTAGGTAAGGTACTTAGGTATTGTTGTGTAAAGTCACTGGTCGTAAAAAGTGACTGCAGTCCCATACATAAGAACTTATGGGAGCCACTGCAGAAATATTTATAAACAAGTGTTAAATGTTTATAAACTAGCTTTTTGCAAGAGGTCGAAGATACGAGGCAAAATTTCAGGAAATCCACTAGTCTTTCAGATTCTTCTGTTTCACTTTAGTAACAGCCCCATGATGCTCTTGAAGTTTCAAAATCCTTTGGGGTCAACTTCATTTTTAAAACACAAACAAACAAAAAACAACCGTGCATTTCTCAGAAACTACTATGCTCATGTGTTCAGGTTCATTTCTTCATTAAACCTATTGCTAGAACTTACTTGATCTAGTCAAATAGAGTTAGCTCAGGACTTTTGTATTGTGCTGACCTTTCTGAAACCTGCATTAAAATCTGAAGAATGTGTGGGTGTGCTACAATTATAATTACTGCTTATAACATATATTCATTCTGGCTTTATATGTGAATGAATCATGCTAATATGTTTTAAGCACATTCTGCTTACTCTAACAGTAGTAATGTGGGTGAAGCCCAGTTGGGAACTGTTTTTTTCTCCTGTTTGTTTAACCCTGCAGAAAAGTCAACTGCATGATGAGATGTGGGGATGTTCTCTGTATTGGACAATATCTTTGTTGTGTTTACATAGGGCCTGCAGCAATGATCTCCTGCAATAAAAACAGGTGATCATTGAAACAGAAAAATGTGTTTGGACAAGAGACAGCAGTGCTATCTTCACTTGTTTCTAATTGCATTAACAAGTCAATTAAATTTGTTAAAGTCTAGGAAGATGTTATTTCATCAGATCAAGATTTTTGTGCAGATTAGAGAAAATAAATTTAAAAAAATACAGGGAGGAGAGAGATTTAAGTAAAACAAATGCATCAAGTAGGCTTGTGTTCATTTTGAAAGGCCTTTATGTTCATCTTACTCCTAGCATATCTCAGGTGCTTCCTTAGTTCACATACCATAATGCTATCTGACATATAGGGTGACAAAGCATTTTCCTATGTGAATAAACAACCTCTGCTAGCAAACTCTTAAAAATGACCACATGGGGTACCAGAAGCTGTCCTTAATAAGGTGCTGGTATGATTGGGAGTTGATGGAACTGAAATACACAGAAGAAGTGGTCTTGTTGGGTCTAGCTTGCCTACTGTGGTATGATGGGTGCTAATGAAATTATTAATGACTTGTAGCACTCTTAATTCTCACCAGCAATAATGATGCTACTTTTTTTACCCTGTATCAATGATAAGTAGCTTAGGCTTGTTACCAAGACTATCTTCGATAGCATCCCTCTGCTTGAATTAGGAGGTTACAAGCACTGAAAAATTCTTTTGAATAGGGGCTATCAATCTAGATTATTTTTTCTGCTTACTGTGAAATGACAAACCATGCATTCAGCATAGGGCTAGTTGTTAAAAATGAAGCTGTGGTTGCTATGCGTTAACACACAGCTATTTATGAGATCCAACTATTTAGGATTTTGCAAATGTAAATACAGACAATAGTAGAGCAATTATATACATAATTCATGACTTAAGGAACATGTTTTGGAAATTGAATTTTCATCTTTTTTTTTTCTTTTTCGAGTTATGGGGTATATGGTTAAGAGAGGGAACTAAAACAATGTGTTGTTTTACTTTTAACATGACACTAGCTAAAAATAGTGTTAATACTGACTGTAAACAGCTGCAGAAGACTGATACTGATAACTTCTGTACTGTTTGAGTTTGTTCAGTGAGTTGAGATAATTTGCACTGTTAATGGATTACTGCTGGTCTAGCTGTGCCCATGTTAACCTTATGATTCATTTCTGAAGTTTCATTGGTCCATATTAGGCATGTGCATTGGCCAATATTGAATTATTTAACTGTTGCTTAGTAATATTTCAAACTTACTTTCAAGCTTCACAAAACAACCTTGCAGTTCATTCGGAGCTAAAGAACAAAGGAAGTGTACTAAGCTACACAGAGGATCAGTAGCAGGCTGGGAAGTAGAGAACAGGGGAAATCATAAATATGTTTTATTAAATAAACAAAATTTTTCTTTGGGTTTCCATCTCCCCTCATTCTTCTGCTATTTTTATAGGTGATCTTTAAGGTCCCTTCCAACCCAAGTGACTTATGATTTGAATCTCATTTATAGCTTTTCTGCTTTTCTTTGTTTTCCCTTTGATTTTTTATTTTCCTCAGTCCTGAACAAGCTATGTCTTGCTTTTGTCTGTCCTCTGCCCTTCAAAAAGCAATGGGAAACATGTTTAAAAACCTTTTTTTGAGGGAGATGGCTCATTCTGCAGGGTGATGAACTCTTTAGCATTTAACTGTGGCTTTGGAGCTGTTATTCTTGATGAAATCATAATGAAGATGCTTCAACTTGTCAAGGGCAAAATTAAGATTGCACTGTAATGAATCAAATGCTTCAAATATTCCATGGGCTTGTTATATTTTGTGTAACTACATGATGCATTAGATTAACAAACTGTGTTGAGATTAAAATATGCAGTGGATAGAGCAGTCTAAAAGCAGAGACTTTGGAGAGAGGGCCTGTCACGTTCCTGATCTAGTTTAGACAGATTTTTTCAGAGCTGATTAGACTATCCATTTGTATTATGT